AGTATATGCTCGAGCCTCCGAAAGATCAACTAGTTGAAACTGTAAGTCTTTTCCTTCTTACTTACTGAACCCTTTAGCTTGTAGCCGTTTAAGAATTTTTGACATTGATTTTGTTGATGCATGTGTTAAATCATCAAATGCAGTATTTCCACCCGGATAACATGTCATCTGCGGAGAAGATGAAAATCGAGCTTGCAAAGGTCAGAGAAGAGTTCAAGATGTCAGAATCGGATTGTGGTTCTGCACGTGTTCAAGGTATCTGTTCTAATCAATGTTGGCTTTAGCTATTGAAGATGATATAACATTTCCTCTGGTTAAATTAAGCCAGCTAATTATAGGTCATTGCCTTTGTTATTTTTGAGAACAAAATGTCACAAGTGCTGGTTTAGTGATCTCTGTGGTTTTTCCTTATAGTGGCACAACTGACCACTAAGATCAAGCATCTATCCTCGGTTCTACACAAAAAGGTAAACTTTCAATCTTTTTATCTGGAGCTACCAGCTCCAGTTTTCTACTGTAACCTGATCATGCATCCTTATAACCTTAGGACAAGCATTCGCGGAAAGGACTTATAGCAATGGTGCAGAGACGGAAGAAACTGTTGAAGTATATGAGACGAACGGATTGGGATTCTTACTGCCTTTCGCTGTCAAAACTCGGCCTTCGTGACAACCCAGATTACAAGTTTTAAAATTTTTGTGCAAGGGACATCATAGAATTGTGATATCAGTAGTCTCTTTTTGTTCTTTTCATTATGACAAAAGAGATAATGTGGGTCTCTCTTATCAAATCATGTTGGGGAGGAAAGTTGTTCTACTAGAGTTTATTATTGCAGGCTGTTTAGGCGGAAAGAGAATAAAGCTATGGGGTACTTTCGTTGACATTGTCTTTTTTTTTTTTTGGGCAAAACTTAGAATGTGATAGTAAACTTACTCGTCTTACATATCTTTCTCAATGCATCTATCTTTTACTCTGCCACTTTATCTTCTTTAACCTTTAGGTTGGTGAATGTTAAACATGAAAAGTGAACACATACGGTTTAAATTGCAATGATGTTCGGAACAGTTAAATTGGAACAGAAACTGAGGTGATTCGGAGAAAGAAGAAGGTTCAAGGAATCGTCAGTAATCTTTCATCAATGGCTTTTGGCCTTTTACCAAATTAGGATTCAAATTTCAAAAGTCAGCGATGGTTTATGAGTAGAGAGAGTGAACCGTTACTTCAACCCGGTTAACATATAACCGGTATAAAGCAATTGAATTTGAAACGACACTTGAAGAATTTATTTCTTCACTGTTTTATTACATCTTCTTCGCCTTCCTCTCCTAAACGAAGTAAGAAAAGTCACTCATGGCGTTTCATCTCCTCAGATCAAAACAGAGGTTCCACTTGAACCCAATTCTGATCCGTATTTTCTCAACGTCCTCATCAAACCTATTCTCTCAACTCGTCGACCGGCCGAGGAAATATTCAGGCGATGTTTTTGACCGATTTGCTATTCGTCCATATCGGAGAGAGAAAGCTGTAAGTTTATTCCTTATTAAGAGCCGTCAAGCCTTTTACTTTGTCAGAGCGATTAGTCTAAAACGAGATCTCCCATAGACTATGTTATAAACTGGCATGTTTTGTTACCGTTATGAAATGTGGCATTTATCTTTTGTTAAGCGGAAAAATGGAAAAGTCTGATACTTTGTGCATAATTATAGGATGAAATACAAAGCAGAGTTTCAATAACAGACCAGCCAAAGGAAGAAAAGAGGAGGAGACCTGGAAGACCCAAGAAGAAACAACTAGTAGAGAAGAAACCACCAATGGACGAAAAGAAAAGCAGAGCTGCAAGTATAGGAAGGAAAACGTTTACTGCTTTAGGTAGCTCTTCATGGAATGCACTCAAGAATCATTCAGATTACATATGCAGTGTGATGCATGCAATGGATGTTTTAAATGGTCTACCTAGAGTGAAGAAGTGGTCGCCTTTATACCGTGCATCCATGGATCATCTGATGGCTGATGTAACTCACCGACAAGCCTTTTTAACATTCTCTGATCCTGAGGATATGATTCGGTACTTGAGGTATAAGACCAAAAAAACGGAAAGAGAATGATTGCTATATGCCTTGGTGGCTT